TTTTCTTATACGTCAGAAGCAAGTAAGGCGGGACCATAGACCGAATCGCAATACGCTAATTTAGAGAATATTAGAGATTCACATAGTTTGATTTTAATTTGTTTCGGAAGAATGTCTCGTTGAGAGTAGAGTTTCTTAAGGGTACCATAGGAGCTTTGGCATTAAGAACGAATGTGTTTGCTAAACCTCAGATCGGAGTCGAACCACACACCAAGGTTTTTGCATTCGTTTAGAGTTGGGATTTTTTCGTTGTTCATCACAATATCCATCATTTGAGATGCTGTTATTCTCTTACTTTTGGAACCAAAGAATGTTACAGAAGATTTACTGGCATTCAAGTTCAAATTATGCGCCAAAAAAATATTGAAAAGAGAATCTAAATCTGAATTTATGTTGTTGCATGCCTCCTCGTATAATCATCAATGTGAAAATGATAAATGAGTTGTGTGTCATCTGCATAGTGGTATATTTTGCAATGACGGGTGAATTTGTGTATGTCGGAAATATGAATGGAAAAAAGTAGAGGTCCTAAGATAGAGCCCTGTGGTACACCATATCCTACCGGTAAAGCATCCGACGATTTATCACCAAGGACGACTTGTGTGCGATTGGTAAGATAGCTGTTCAGAACTTTAATGGATTCCTATGAGAATCCGAAATGTAACATTTTTTGCAAATCAAGTTGTGATCGACAGTGTCGAAAGCTTTACTGTAATCTAATAGAATGAGACAGCAAATTGAGTTTTTATCGATATATCTGAATAAGTCATCGGAAACATTGAGAAGCGCGCTGGTAGTGCTAAATTGGGGCCGAAACCCGGACTGAATATCTGGAATGATCGTTTTAGAGAAAACGAATTCCGCCATCTGGCTCTTTATAATGGATTCGAAGATTTTTGAGAGTGTGGGTAAAATGCTTATGGGTCGCAAGTGCTTCAATTCAGTCGGTGATGTGACTTTAGCCAAAGGTATGATATTAGCCATTTTCCAAGCGTCAGGAAAAGTATTTGTTGTTAGTGCAGTATTAATGATATGTGTGATATAGTCGAGTATGATGTCCCAGACGATATAAATCATATTGAGTGATATATTATCAGACCCTATAGAATTACTTTTGAGGGTTTTGAAGGCATGTTCCACTTCTCGTGAATGAATAGTATGGAAATTGAAAGAACGGATTTGAGTGGTAGGGAGATCATAGATGTCAAGTAAGTTAAGTTGAGCAGGAGTGGGGTGGGATGACGGAACGTTATTAACGTAATTATTGATCAATGTTACGTCAATAAGGTGACCAGGTAATTCAGAAATTCGATTACTCTGAATTACATCTATATAAGGCTCTAAGAGTATTCCAGATAGTTTTGGAATTATTTGTACGTAGTGTGTATTGCCTATTAATTTATTTTTTCCCTTCTAATGGCACTAGTGACGTAGTTACGCAGTTCTTTATAATAGTTCCAACTATGGTCAGTTTTCGTGCTTTTGAACTTTTTGAAGGCTTTGTCCCGAGTTCGTATCATGAGTTTGATGTTGTATGTATACCATGGGCTGAAAGGTTTAGTGACCTTCACTTTACGGATGGGAGCATGTTTCTCGAAAATATTGAGCAAATTGGTATTCAGGTAATTTACTTGTTCATTGACATTGTTGGAATTATAAATGCGATCCCATTGACAAGCCTTGATTTCATTAAGGAAACGATCCTGATTGAAGTGATTGAAGTCGCGAGTCGAGATGATCTTTTCCTTGTTGGTGGACTTAATTTTTCCTATTTCGCATGACGTAGTGAAATGATCTGAGATTCCCGGTAAGTCATGAACTGAGCATCTAGTAATGTCCTCAGGGTTTGATGCAACCATAATGTCAATCAGAGTTTGAGAATTATCCGTGACACGTGTAGGCTCATTGATCAGCTGTGTCAAGCTATAAGTATCTAAGTATTGTAAGAACAAGTTACTGGACTGACTCTGGACTAATAAATTGATATTCACATCAGCGGTCATAAGAAGGAAATCACAGTTAGTCGAGATGAGTGACATACTGTCATCTAGTTCGGAAAGGAAGACTGTGATATTTGACTTGGGTGGACGATACAGGACACCTATCGCGTAAGTACTCCCAAGTAATTTCACATTGATCTACAATAATTGCTCCAAATTATTCGTGATATTTTTGACCAGAACATTGTACAAGCGGTTACATTTTATGAATAGACCGAGATCACCTCCTCGTCCATCTCGATCAATTCTTTCAAATTTATAGCTAGGAATAAATAATAAATCTGAGTTTATGTTGGGATTGAGCCAAGTTTCAGCAACTGCGAATACTTCAAAGGAATTACTGAGTATGTGATTTTTCAAAATATCGAACCCTCCTACTATGGAACGTACGTTCATGTGGCCGAAGCAGGAAGCTTTGTTCTGGGGCATTATTATGAATCAGAGAGAATAAAATAAAGGTCAAGATAATGATACGGATGATGATACGAAAATAGTTAACGGATACCGAGTGAATTCAATATGCAATTAATACTAAAATCTAATTATAGAAGACAGAGTGTTTACAAATAGATATATAAATACAAAAAAAAGAAAAAAAAATGTAGTAAATAATAATAAAGCAAATATAGAAGTAGACTACGAATGAAGTCAGGGAGGTGAGAATTTACTTTAGATTTTTGCCAGAATTAGCAGATCTCAAAGTAATCGAAGACTTTTTTGACTTGATATTGAAGGCCTCAGGGCTGACTTCCAAGAGTCTTTTCTTATTAGTATCACTCTCTTTCTGGGAGAGGGATAGAGTGGAATTATCCGCTGATCTGCTGCTGGTTGCACCTGCTGCACTTGCTTCATTCACTTCTGTACTGGACGCAAATGTTTCTTCAAGTTCATCAGTGCTGTACGGAACACCATCTATGATGAGCCTTCGGCCTTTAATGACAGCTGCGAGACCTTTGTTTCTCGCAATTTTTTGATGGGCAACGAGATTTTTTTTTATAGTCTTCGGGAATATAATCAAGTGAGATAAATGTACCAGTTCCCTTCAGTTTTTTAGCATTTTTTAAAATCTCAGCTTTAAGGCTATTAGTCAAACATTCCAGAAGGATAGGACCTGGTTTGCTATTGTTTGGGGAAGCTAATCTATACGCATCTCTGAAATCTCTTTCGCTGCAATTGATTTCTAGGTTATCTCGCAGTAGCGCGATGACAGAATTAATGACGTTATCGCCTGGCAAATTATATATCGTAAGATTATATTTCTTTATTCTTCTTTCTACAGTCTGAACCCTCTCTTTCAGAAGTTTATTTTCTGCCCTCAAAGCTCTATTATCTTCATCTTTGAGCTCACCAATTTGTGCCACTAATATTACGTTTTGTGATTTGACGGCGGAAAATTGTTCCATAAGCTCTTTCAACATGTTCGCCACATCTTGTTTGGAGTAATCGCTCATTTCCACTTCCTGGTAGTAGACCACCCGTACTATGTGATTAGTTGAAGATCCGCAGATGGGAGATAAGGTTTTTTGCGAGCAGGTGTATCGCGTTATCCGAATTACTTATTGCTAGGCTTTTTTACTTTTAGGTGACAAGAGTTTGATTTTTGTTCACTTTTTCATGCGATTTTTCATTTTCCATCCCGCACATAGATCATATTTCGTGTATTGATTTATGAAATCGGATTCATCGAAATGATTATGAATGTTTTGTTCAGACCTGAAATGGACGTTTTGGGGACGTCCATTCATGTACGTTTTGGAAACGTCCCATGATGGACGTCCTCGAAACGTCCTCAAAAGGTCCCGGACGTTCAGACCTGAAATGGCCTTCAACGGGACGTCCCGGGGACGTCCTGTGCTATCTGGGCTCACTCACTCTTTGACATCATTGGAACACCGTAGAAAGGTCGGCGACCTTTCACTTTTATATCGATACTTCCACGGGAAATCTCTGCTATCATCCCTTCACTAGCAATACCAGTCAGACGAACTAGACAAGCCCAGTCAGCACATCCTTTCGTTGTCAACCTCGAAAGATGTCGAACAGCACTTTATCAAAACTCCTTCATCCATAGAACGGCTAGGTTCTGGAATTCATTGCCTGAGGAAGTATTCCCAACAAACATATGATATAATCTCCAGAAGTTCAAAAAAAAATCCGATACCTACCTCCTGTCCCTATCCTCCTTAGGAACGCACGATGTTCTCTGAACATTATAGGGATTTCCTTTCGTGCGCTCCAAGCGATAAAAAAAACACTGAACTGAGTGATTGGACAGTCATGTAAAACCCGTCATACTCTAGATATTTAGCCGTCATTGATTTTGTGACCAATTTCTGCAGTCAGAACGTCAGAACTGTCAGAAGTTCATTTTCCATTGTAAACAACACAATTTTCAGTTTGCTATTTTGGTTATTTGCATTTTATTCATTTTATGGGATTCGCCTTTTGACCATGGAAGGAGACACATGGCGTCTCCAGGTCAAAAGTCAGGTTAATGTGTGTGCAAGTCTTTAATTTTTCTAATTACCTGATCTGGATTAAAATCCAATATTTATTGTGAAGTTTAATAAGTGTGTGTGAAAATTATAAAGCTCTTTTATCTCTACGCCGGTATAGAGGCCGGATGGTGACGGATTCACCGGATAAAGGGGCCATACTTGAAATCAAACGTGCTCAGCATGAGCACATACGATAGAATCTTTGGACATTGATGAACTCGGCTGCCGGGCATGGTGACGGACTACGGTGTCTTTAGTGCTCGAGTCGAGTGACAATATTATTACATAACCATATATATATTCTTGAAAAAATTAATTACCTGATCTGGAGAAATTGTTACCGAAAGGTGACAGAAATCCAATAAACCCAAAAGAAGAAGAAGAAGAAGAATTCATTTTATGAAAGATTTGTATTTCCTGTTGGCTGGCTCACTGCTGGCTGGGCTATAAAAAACTTATAGCAAATTAGATTTGTTGTAATCTCCATATTTCTTCATAAAAAATGAGTGACGATTTTCAAAGAAAACTTCAAAACGAATTGGATAGTTTCAAAAAAGTCCAGAAAGGTTAGCCATGGGATATTATACCTCTGTTGATATTGTAACATGCTTCTTTATAGAGTTACAGAAAGCGATTCAGACGAGACAACAACTTGATGGCCAGTTGAATGAAAATGAAATTGTAATACAGGAGCTCAATCTCCTTCCTAGTGATGGTAAAGTATTCAAATCAGTAGGACCAGTTCTTATCAAAACTGAACTAGTTGAAGCAAAAGTTAATGTAAAGAAGAGAATGGACTACATAACTAAAGAACTCAAAAGGGTGGATGATCTCATTGCTTCACTAGAAAAGAAACAGGATGCTCATAGAGAATCATTACAAAAATTGCAGCATCAGTTTCAGCAAGCTCAGGTGAAAGCAGCACTCCATGCCTGAAATGTGATATGATCTTTGATATAACAGCAGGCACAAACATAAATGATGGTAGATAGAGAATCTATAGATATCCATTGATTATTTAACACAATGTGTGCTTTTCTAATAAAAATCAAAATTTACCTGCTTTGTACCCATGTGAAATGAGTTATAAATTAAATAGAATATGGAAAAATATAATACTTTTCAGAATACTAACTCACCTTACATTGATATTGTATATTTATTTTGTCATTACCATATAACATGCTTAATAAATATTTGAGTGCCCAACCAAACTGAAACAATTCTTCAATGAATTATTCTTTCATGAAAAAAGATTTAAATTTTTGATGGCAGTGATGGCTAATGAACATAAACCATGTTCAATAAATCTGGTCAAGAGATGTATAGTAGACATCAGGGTCCAGCAGGAGCTGCTAGCTGAGATCAGGTTCAGAATAAGAATTTCCTAATCAGAATTTCAAATTCAACCTCATAGAATTTCTCATTACTTGATGGGCTAAATGAAAGTACTAGTTATATATCATTTTTATTCAATGCAGAAAACACTAAATTTAATATACAAGATATGGAAAAATTAAATAGTATTGCTCTGTTCATCCATTTTATAACACTGTCACATCAACAATAAAGATGAATAGGTACATAGAATATCTAATGACACAAGACTAATAAAGGCAGTTCTTTTCACTCCACATCATCCTCTTGCATGGAAGAACTAGGTGCTGTTTGTGCTTTCATGAGACGTGGTGCCACTGCAGGAAGTCTCTGAATGAGAAGGTGGAACACATTTGGTTGTAGTGTCTGTTGCAAGACTTGTAAAAGATCATTTGGCTGCCCACATACTGCTACTGCATTACCCAAATGGTCAACTCCATTTTCAAGGTCACCTGCAGCTAATAATTCCTCCCCAAGTTGAATCTCTTGCAAGAAAAATCTTTGTACTGCTTCATGGTCTTTCATATCTGGGAATGCTGTGGTTGCATGTTTTCCTGACGAAGCTGCGGCTTTCTTAGCTCTGCGTCCTATAAAAATCTATGTAATGGAAAGTCATAACCTAGAATAATACTCACTTTGTCGAAGCTTTTTCTTGAAATCTGGGTCATTATGTCTTTGTTTGTCGATATATATACAATAACCTAGGAAAAGAGTAGCTGATACACCTGCACATATCCCTATTACTGCTTTTGGTGACACCATTTCAATTTAATTTTTGAACTTTTCCAAATTCTCAGACTCCTGCCATAACGTATACCACGGAACGGAACGTCAAAACATCAATGTCAAAACTGTCAAAAGTCAAACGTGCACTTACAAACACAAAACATCAATAGTATAACCGTAGTCTAGCCATAGCACCATAGCGAGGTAGTATTTCGCGCTCGATGCTCGCTGTACAGGGTGATTCACCATAAATGTCCCCCCCTCTAGCTCAGTTATTTTTGAACCGATTTTGAAATTTGAAATATAATCTTGAATGATTTTCGATAAAGTTTTTTTCCGCTAGATCAGAAAATACAGGGTGCTCGGAACAAACGATCTACAGGGTACTATTTGATTTTTTTTAATGAGACACCCTATTTTTCATTGTATTTTTAGATTCTCCCTGAAGAGCTGATTTGGTCAATGTTTCACACTTGGGGTCTAGCGGGACTGATTACAGAGATATAGGGTGTACAAAATCGAGATTTTTAACTTTAGGATTTTTTTGTGACGAAACTATTCATAATCGGTCACGCGGTTTTCATGTCCGTATCTTAACTTTCGATTTACTATCTACTGACATTTAATAATTGGAACAGATACAGGATGACCAGAATTCGGAATCTTGAACCACCCTGTAAATGTTCCAATTAAATTTCACTTGATAGTAAATCAAAAGTTGAGATGGGAACATAGAAGCCGTTTTGACCAATAATGAATAGTTTCGGCACAAAAAAATCCTAAAGTTGGAAAATCTCGATTTTAAACACCCTATATCTCTGTAATCATTCCCGCTAAACCCCAAGTGTGATGCATTGATGAAATCAGCTCTTCAGGAAGAATCTAAAAATACAATAAGATACAGGGTGTTCCATTAAAAAAAAAACAATTAGTACTCTGTAGATCGTTTGTTCCGAGCACCCTGTATTTTCTTATGCAACGGGAAAAAAATGTCTGAAAAATCATTTTAGATTATCTTTCAAATTTTTAAAACGGTTCAAAAATAAGTGAGCTAGAGGGGGGGGACATTTATGGTGAATCACCCTGTACAGTGTACACAAGAAACAAATTGAAACAAACCGGCCGAGACAGCCGAGACTGCAAAGAACTTCGCTCACGGCCGATCCTGAGAAAAATCAGCATTGAAATAGCGAATCACTTTCGGCCTAACTAGTAAATGCTTACACAGTATTTTTTTCAAGTAACCAATTCGAAAAAAAAAGAGAAAAAAAGATCAGCTGAAGTAGGGATTCGAGGCACAGTCTTTCCGTTCGGAGGAAGGAACGCTACTCTTTTGACCACCACGCTCCACGCTTCTGGCAAAACAATAAACTACGGATAGTTATTCCAGGTTATTCATTATACAAGGAAAAAAGTAGTAGATTTTAGCTCCAGGTTGTGTGTGCGCTCAGAAGGTTATTCGTGTTTATAAACAGACTTATAAAGTAATATGAGGAAGGAAAATATTGCTTGTGCATGAAAAAGGAAAATACTTTCGACCCAACTTGTCCTAAATGAACCTTTTTCCTGAAGAGTATATTTTTGAAAAACTAATTGAGTGAAAAAAAAAATTAAATAAATTGACGCCTCGCAGGGATTGAGCCCCAGTCCCAACGTGGAAGTCAGATAAACACCGTAGTTTCTCCACTGAACTATAATTTGTAGGGTTATAGCTCAATGGTTTCTTCTTTAAAGAAAAATGTTGTGGGTGACGTCACTTGACCTCGATGTTTGAAAGATTTGCTGGTCTAGCCCATGTCCAGCCCTAGACGCTTGTCAGTTGCTTGTCAGATATCACAGTTTGTTTATCTTTTCATTTAAAAAATGGAAATAAAATGTTTGGTTTTGGTTGGATTCGATTTGTCTAAAAAAATGAAAAGTGTTTGCCCCATGCCAGGGCAATGTCGGCTATAAGGTCATTCCTTTCTCATCCAGCCGACATTGGCCATTGGTTTGCCTCTATTCAGCTATTCTGAAGATTCTAGATGTTTCCCGAAAATGTTTATTCAACTCTGGTGATAGGAACTTCCTTTGATTACATATTGTTTAAGGCAAGTCTATAGTGCATAGATATAGTCTTAAATTTTGCTTGCATGAATCCACCAGTGTTTCGAAACAACATGATTTATCACAGACAAAATTGTGATTGTTTCAGCTACCAATATTTTTTGTTCTAGACAGCTATTCACTATGCAGAAACCGGCCTAAATGTTTGGTTCATATCACCACAAGTAATTGATAAAGTTCCTTCAAATATAGAACAACCAGATAAAGAAATTCTCCAACTCATAACATTTGTGTGAGTATCTTCATTCTTGAATGAATAATTGAAGATTCATGTTCTTGCTAGATTATAAACAGTATCCTGAGCTGTACCACCAATAATGGTGTATGAAGATGAGCATGTCTGGAAGAAAACATAATTATATTGGTGCCCTTTTCCATGTATTTTGATGTGTGAAACATGAATTTGAAATACCTATTCGAACTTTTGGCTGGACATGCCAACTTGAGCTGATGGCTCATGTGCACTTGTAGTGTTGTAGCTCTAGGTATCATCAGTCAACAAACTGCCAATGTGTTAAGTTGGGTTTTAGGCTTAGGCAGAAATATTGTTCTGTTAAGGTTCATGAGATCCAGTCCTTGGTAGAGCAGATATTTTGAATATTTGCAGAGATAAGTTACCCACAGTTCTGTGGGTAACTTATCTCTGATATTTGGTAGGTATATGGTATGGAGTAATTAACAAAACCTACATAGATCCTACAGACATCCCCAAGCACAAAGAACAGCCAGTGCTGTAACTTCAGAATCATTGGAGATTGTTTTTCTGGAATTTGGTGGGTGGCAACTAAAACAATACACTAGTAACTTTTTCTGATCAAAATGTCAGATATATCATGTTTCATTTGAAAATGAAAAGTTGGGATTGCTTCCAGTTAAACAGAGAGGGATAGTATGCAACAAAGATCCACTTTCTGCTTTTATTGGGAAGTAACAATCAGAAGAAGAATTTCAGTCCTTTTTGCAGGTAGAATATAACAATTAATAGAGATAGGTACTTGTGAATGGATTAATAGTTACATAATATAGTATTCTCCTTTCTGACTGATTGCCCCAAAGATAAGTAGGTAATTTGTTGTTTCCAAACAATTACTAGAGATACTTGTGAATGGATTAATAGTTGCATAATATAGTAATCTCCTTTCTGAGTGATTGCCCCAAAAATGAGTAGGTAGTTTGTTATTTCTTCCAGAAAATTGGTAGAGTACCAAATATTCATGGCAATGTGTTGAGTAACAAATATTTTCCAATTTTTCTCAAAATATATTTTTCATTTGAAGAAGAAAGTCATTCCCCTGTCATGTCTTTGCCATGAAGTTCATTAAAGGCTAGATATCAATTAATTCATTGTGAATAAACCATTTTGAACCCACTTATTTCAATGATAATAAGTCATTATGATGGTTGAAACTATAAAAAATGTCATGAAGAAAAAATAATTATTCATTTTTCAACATTGAAGTATATCTCTCATTAAATGCAGTCATTACCCAAATGTCACCAATAAAATATCGAATTTTGGAGAGATGACTATTGAAAAATTGTAATGAGGTTAAACCAAGGGTTAAACAAATAGGTTGAATCCAGTCAGTTACAATTCTGGAGTTAAACACTAAACAGGGTGTATATTTATCTATTTTCAAAGTGGTTTTGGTTTTGTTTACCAAGTGATGTCTGTACACTGACAGACAGTTATTTCCAAGGTAGGTAAAAAAGTTATTTATACACCAAGGTAGTAAAGAATATCAGTATTAACCAAGTACCAAGATTAAATCGCCAAGCTTCAGCCAAGGGGTATAAGGTCCAGTGTTAATATTATTCTTTACTACCAAGGTGTATATTACATTACCACTAGCAGGATATTTCAATCACTATAGTTCTGTGAAATTGAAATATGGACCTATATTGTCACTAGGAAAGTACTTCTTTTCAATTCTGATTAGAATCTAGTAGCCATGATCATGACAGCATATATGATAAGTCCTGATTGATCATTCTAGTGCCATTCATGGGAATCTCGCATAAGAACAGTGAATTCAGGTTAATTATTGATATTGACGAGATCGTCAATACCTAAGAGACTCCGTTTTCACAATCTGAGATCTGTGATTCATATACGATTAAACCAATTTGGAGTTTGGTCTCTGAAGCCGTAGTGTGGAAGCTTGGGGAGGAGTATTCAATGATTAACACAGTCAAACGCTTTTTATAGATCACAAAACACAGCGGCGCTTGCTTCTTTTAGGTTTAGTTTGGAAAAAGGTTCCTGAGGAATTGAAAATGGTATCCATTTGTACTTTTCTTCGATTGAAACCCGAACTGAACGGGATGCAGAATTTTGTGAAGGGTCAAAAAGTCTAATATTGCAATTTTAACCAATTTTTCTATAATTTTCCCAAGAGTTTTGAAATGAGTGAAATTGAGCGGAAGTTTGATGGGTCGGAGGGATCACCACCTTCAAAGAGAGGAATAACGATGCTAGTATTCAAGAAATCTGGGAAGATTCCTCTTGACAAAAGAATCATTGATAAGGTGGACCAGAAATTCTAGAACGAACGAACTTTTATAGAAATATTGTCAATTCAACTGGAGCTTTTGTTCTTGATTAACTTGATTGTATTCCTAAGCTCATTCAAATCGATTTTATGTATAACAAACGTGTCAGCTGTATACAATAAAAGTAAGATAATGGATCGAGAGCAGGTTCCATATTTTCGGTAAGTCTCTCTGAAATCTCGTCTGAAATGGGACAATAAAATTCATTTAAATTCTTGGGATTAAGCATTGCACTTGAATTATTGATATTTTTCCACGAAACTCGATCAATAAATCTAACTGATATCATACATCAATTTGACATTCCACCTGTCTAAGAAAAACAAATTAGGAGGAAAATGTGGCGACATACGACGACCGTTAATATCCCACTGTTTAACAAAATTCAAAAATGAAAACTTCAAGTTATTACCATGATTATTCTAAATTAGTATCGCGGCTTTGAATTTTTTTCCAA